GGTTCTAATGCCCCTGCAGTTCTGATAAAAACTAAAAGTTTTGTTATCTATGAAGTAATTGTGTTGACCCCGACGAAAATTCAGATCAGAAACTGTAGGCGAATGAAGATCGACCATGGCCGAACCGTCATAGTCCGGGGGCCGAGGACCTTTTTTCCAAATCATTAATAACAAGCTAGTTTTTTCAATGCAGCTTCATTTCACCGAGACGCCCAACTTTTTTCTCTTCGAAAATTGCGAAAACAGGTAGCTAACATACTGCGCAGGTGTAGAACATTTCGATTTGGTGACTATGAAAATTTAATTAATAACAGTTAGTTTTTCAGCTAAATGTTGAGATAATTTTATGAATAATTTGAAACAACATTTGTCCGACAAAATAAAGGGTTTGGTCTACGATGTCCCCCCCCTCAAACATGTAGCAATTACGTTGCATAAAAAATGATTAATAACAAGTTGATTTTTTCAATGTAGGTTGGTAAATATTATTACAATTAAATGGTCACACTGTCCTACAAATAAACAGGTAGCTATTTTCAGTCCTACACTCAAAAGTTGTCGATTTCACGATTTAACTTTTTTCATTAATAACCGGCTAAATCTTCGTGAGTATCTTCATTTTGATAAGACGCCCAAATTTTCTGTTGCGAAAATTCCAAAAACAGGTAGCTAACAGAGTGCGCAGGTGGAAAACATGTCTATTTGGTGATCATACAAATGTAAATAATAACAGTTAATTTTGTAGCTGAATGTTGAGATAGTTTCATAAATAATATGAAACAACATTTGTCCGACAAAATAAATGGTTTGATCTAGGCTGTCTCCCTTCTCAAACATGTAGCAGATACGTTACATAAAAAATGATTTATAAAGAGTTGATTTTTTTAATGTAGCTTAGTAAATATTACTACAATTAAATGGTTACACTGTCCTACAAATAAAGAGGTACATTTCTCCAGTCCTACACTCAAAAGTTGTCGACTTCACGGTAATACTTTATTCATCAATCACCGGCTAAATCTTTTCGAGCATCTTCGTATTGATAATACGCCTAACTTTTCTATTGCGAAAAGTTGCAAAAGTAGTAGCTACTAGACTGAGCATTAGTGAGCACATGTAAAATACCGTGATTAGGTGGTTATGCAAATGTAATTATTAACAGTTAACAGTTAATTTTTCAGGTGAATAATGAGATAATTTTATAAATAATTCGAAATTCGATTTGAGCCACAAAATAAATGGTTTGGTCTGCAGTGTCCCCTTTCTCAAAAATGTAGCAATTACTGGCTCATAAAAAACGATTTATAACCAGTTGATTTTTTTACTGTAGTTTGGTAAATATAACTACAATTGAATGGTCACATTGTCCTAAAGAGGTAAGATTTCTCAGCCCTACATTCGAGAATTTCGAAAATAGCCTTATGCATATTATACGTAAATATGTACAGGGCTTTCATTTCAAAACTTTCCACTCACGTTATCTGCGTAAATAGACAGATTTCTAGAAATCGCTGAAACATGTCAACAAATTTATTGAGGGGGTGCGTTAATTTGTTGACGTGTACCGGCGATTTCCAGAAATCTGTCTCTTTAGGCAGATAACGTGGGTGGCAAATTTCGAAATGAAAGCCCCTGTATGTACATATGCACGTATACAGATGCGTGTATAACAGTATATGTGTTATGTGTATGTACACATACCTGCATTTATGTCGATGGTTTCCATTCGCATCGACGCGCATGCTCGTAAATAACACAGTATCGTAGTATAGGATGATTCAAAAAGCGCGCCGGATTTGAATTGCTCGAAAAAGAGTTTTGGCATGCCATCAAAGTAGAGGGGGCCATGCCCTTTGTCATTTTCCATACCCAGATGGCGAAGGTTTGATCCAACCGGTTCATCTTAATTCTAAAGATATTTTAAAAAAATAGAGCTCCTTTTTTAATGTATTAAATCTGGCGCGCTTTTTTGCTGTATATAGGGTGAATACAGGTCTTCTAAGTTAGAGTTTTTCTTTTTAAATAACGTGGAACTTAAAAAAATACAGGAGTTTTCCAAATAATATTTTTTCGACAGCTCAAAAATAAAAGAGATAGGTATGTTCATTTCAAATAATATCAAAAATCAAATATTTTAATAATTATATTTTTCAAAATACAAAAGGTAAAATTCTTGAATTTAATCTTTTTTTCCAGAAATCTGTCTCTTTACGCAGATAACGTGGGTGGTAAGTTTTGAAATGAAAGCCCTGTACATATTTACGTATAATATGCATAAGGCTATTTTCGAAATTCTCGATTGTAGGGCTGATAAATCTTACCTCTTTAGGACAATGTGACCATTCAATTGTAGTTATATTTACCAAACTACAGTAAAAAAATCAACTGGTTATAAATCGTTTTTTATGAGCCAGTAATTGCTACATTTTTGAGAAAGGGGACACTGCAGACCAAACCATTTATTTTGTGGCTCAAATCGAATTTCGAATTATTTATAAAATTATCTCATTATTCACCTGATAAATTAACTGTTAACTGTTAATAATTACATTTGCATAATTACCTAATCAAGGTATTTTACATGTGCTATGTGCTCACTCTAGTAGCTACTACTTTTGCAACTTTTCGCAATAGAAAAGTTAGGCGTATTATCAATACGAAGATGCTCGAGAAGATTAAGCCGGTGTCCGGTGATTGATGAATAAAGTATTACCGTGAAGTCGACAACTTTTGAGTGTAGGACTGGAGAAATGTACCTCTTTATTTGTAGGACAGTGTAACCATTTAATTGTAGTAATATTTACTAAGCTACATTAAAAAAATCAACTGGTTATAAATCATTTTTTATGTAACGTATCTGCTACATGTTTGAGTAGGGAGACAGCCTAGATCAAACCATTTATTTTGTCGGACAAATGTTGTTTCATATTATTTATGAAACTATCTCAACATTCAGCTACAAAATTAACTGTTATTATTTACATTTGTGTGATCACCAAATAGACATGTTTTCCACCTGCGCACTCTGTTAGCTACCTGTTTTTGGAATTTTCGCAACAGAAAATTTGGGCGTCTTATCAAAATGAAGATAATCACGAACATTTAGCCGGTTATTAATGAAAAAAGTTAAATCGTGAAATCGACAACTTTTGAGTGTAGGACTGAAAATAGCTACCTGTTTATTTGTAGGACAGTGTGACCATTTAATTGTAATAATATTTACCAACCTACATTGAAAAAATCAACTTGTTATTAATCATTTTTTATGCAAAGTAATTGCTACATGTTTGAGGGGGGGACATCGTAGACCAAACCCTTTATTTTGTCGGACAAATGTTGTTTCAAATTATTCATAAAATTATCTCAACATTTAGCTGAAAAACTAACTGTTATTAATTAAATTTTTATAGTCACCAAATCGACATGTTTTACACCTGCGCAGTATGTTAGCTACCTGTTTTCGCAATTTTCGAAGAGAAAAAAGTTGGGCGTCTCGGTGAAATAAAGCTGCATTGAAAAAACTAGCTTGTTATTAATGATTTGGAAAAAAGGTCCTCGGCCCCCGGACTATCACCCTCAGACAATGCTTGGCTCAGATCAGGATCACTAGCAAGGTTCAAAATGAAGAGGTCACTAGAGGGAATGTTGTTGCTATCACTAATTTCAATATATATGAGAACTTTACAGTTAGAAAATTTAAACATAGCATCACTTATCAGTCACGAAATTTCCGAATTTGTATGCTGATCTTGACACTATTAGTAACTGGGGCCTCAGCAACCAAGTAAAATCCAATGCTTCGGAAACTCAAGCAACAGTATTTTCAAATAAGAAATCTTCCGCCAATGATAAGTTTTAAGGATGTCGAGACAAAACCTTATTATCAATTATCAATCCCTCAGTATCTCTTCTTGGGGTGACCGCATCGATCAACTTATCTTGGCATGACCATGTATCTTCGATTGCCCAAACAGCTTCTCGAGAATTGGGTTTTTTGCAATGTTTCGTGAGAAAAGCTTATTCAATTCTGAACAACCGCTTCTCCTTTATAAGGCTCAAATCAGACCATATATGGAGCGATGCTAGCAAGCATTTGTTGGCTCTATTAGGTGCAGTTCGAATGATCGATAATTCTATCGCCCAATCGTTGCAATCTCTCGAACATAGACGCAAGTTGGCCTACTTGTTATTCTATCGATATTACTATGACTTATGCCGATCTGGCTAGCCTCATTCCAGCTTGGAGAAGTTATTTGAGAACCACAAGAACCTCACGGGCATCCCATCTGCATGTGGCCAAGTTGACTACCCGGAGGACCTCAAAGTATAGGGCTTCTTTTTGGTTGCGTACTGCCCACCTCTGGAACTCCCTGCCTCCTATTTCATTTCCTGAACTATTTAACCCTAAGGTGTTCAAACGGAGGTCAATCGTCACTTAACTTCTTCCGCTCATGATACCGCTTAGGTAAGTGTATCGACTTTGTCTTTTGTGAGTGAACAAATATAAAAAAAAAAATGGTTAATTTTAGTGTGAGCATTTTATTTTTCATATTTTTCTGAAACTGGATGAAAAAGGCAGTGATCAGGTTGTACGGGAAACAAGGCAGTACTTTGAAGTTAAAATGTAAAGTTACTAAGTTAAAGTTAATACTAGTCCAAGTCACTTGGACTAGTATAAAAACTAAATCCCGGCATAAGTCGGCTTTTTCTTTGTCAAACATAGGCGGCGTAATTTTTTAAAAAGTGCTCTCATAAATGAATAGAAACAAACAAGAGTAGGTTATGCCCTGCACTGTCTCTCACACCGACAATCATATCGCCCCAGAAAGCGGAATGGACACAACACTATTTTAGGTCTGGTCCAAGTAAATTCGTATAGACTATATGTCATTTGGTACAGAGGGACTTTTTGTGCTGAACTCAATATTTAAGCGAAAATTCACTCCTGGGTCTAATGTAATTATTATCATCTAAATATTATAAAAGACTTTTCATTTCAGATCCAATTCACACTGCTACTCCTGCACAGTTTAACGTTGCTACAGAATTGTGGTGGACCAAGATCGTTTTTGCTAGTTTATATACCGAATATGATTTTTATATACAAAATGTTTTATGATTTCTATAAAAAAAATTATACATGTAAGTCTGCAAGAAGAATTGAATAAAAAATGTATATATCTACCTAATACAAAATGTTGCTCCTTATTTTTACTTTCTAGGTTCGAAGCTAAGTGTAGCGTTATCACAAATCCTAAGTTAAGGAAATGCTATAAATCCAGCAATTCTACTGTTGATTACCGAAACACGATAAAATAAGTAGCCTACATACGTGCAGTCATTTCGAAGGCTTTCGTGTTTCAATCGGAAAATGTCACCGTTCCGGGGAAAAATTGAACACGAAACCGATTGTATTCCAATTGGGAACTAAACTTTATCTGAAAAATTGGTTTCGAGTGCCGGAGCATGCTGAATATGTCGCGCCCGAGATCCCGTGGGATAAATTTTACCGGATGTACCGTGATTTATATTTTCACCGCATATAGTGCTTTAGTTGAAATAAAAATAGATTTTTGGCAGTTATTCAAAAGATTAACACTTTAGTTAAATATGCCAAGAGAGAATTCGTTTTATTTATTCTATTTCCAATAAAAATTCCATAAGAGTATCCCTGAACTTTATTATTCTCTAAAATGGTTCTACAACATTAAAATAAACTCTTTCAAGATTAAACTAGTAATTTTTCCGACTTTAATTGATTTTTTTTCGGCCTAGACGATCGTAATATCTGAAAATTTATGACTACTTTCAGTCCGGAACGCTGCATTTTAACGACATTAGTTGAAATTCAATTTGAAAAATCGTTAATTTCACATTTACGATTTTGATCATAAATTCAACTTTTTCAATAAAATAATATGTTCGACCGTTCAGTCAACTATGTCTATTTCAAAATATCTTATGTCAGCTTGAATATTTTATTGAAAGTGCTTCACCCCACGAGAGTTACGACTGTCTAGACGGAGCCGGTCAAATGGAGTTTCTATACTTTGCCGCAAACCTTACACATTGATTCTTAAAATCAAAATATTCAAAACTGACAGAATGAAAAAAGTTTTTCAATCAACAACTCAAGTTGAAAAATAATAAACCGATGGATTTTGTATATCGCATTTTGTTTGTGAACTGTTTTTTTTTATTTGGCATGTATTGGATTTAATGGGGATTGGCTAAATCTTGAGGATAATTCTCTATGGTTTCTGTTACCATACCAATAATTTAAGTCTATTCCATGCCATACAGATGTCAGAAGTTTTCAAAATCATAAGTGTTACTTTTACTAACATTTATGTAAACTGAAAGATTTATCTCCTGAACAAGGAAATTCTAAAATAAGACATTTATTGAAAGTGCACTTGGATATCGTTCTGAGCCCCAAAAGGAAAGCTAAAACTAGATAGCATTTTCCGGAACAATTTTCATTCTGTTTCTGTGGTCTAGGAGGAGTCTAGAGTTATAAAGCCTGTCGATTTTCTCAGGTATTGAGATCCGGCTTATGTTGATTAGTCAGTTTGATAATGAAGAAAAAAACACTGTCACTCTATCTGCGAAAACTCGGGAATGAGAGAAATGAGAATTTCTGAAAACAGAGATCTCGAATATCTTGCTATTTTTGCCATCGAATTGAAAACATCGCTCAGTTTGAGGCATAGAGAAAGCATTTCCGGGTTACCGAGAATTTTTTTCCCCAAGTATCGATCGATATAAAATATGTTGAATAAATTTTTTCACCTGTAAGTGAGGTTATAATTTCGCCCTCTAGTTTCGGTAGACACAGAAACTGGAGCTTCTTGTCCTCCAACAACTCTACCAGTCAGTTAGTGAGTTTTGTGAGCTAACGGAATACCCTACATAAGCAGAAATGCCCAAATAATTTTTATGTGGAATAGGTTGGGTCATTCAATCAAGACAAAGCCGCGATGGTCTATAGGGTGTACCATTTAAAACGAAACAGGCTAAATTTCTGAGGCCACGTTTATTTTCAAAAAAATCGCTCGTACTCGTAATTTGATTTTGAAAGGGGGAGGTTTTCTGCAACCATTTTTAGCACTCCAACTTTAACCCTCTAGGCGGGGTGGGACCAACCCCTCACTAGTTCAAATGAAACAAGCGGTCGAGTGATACCTCTTTCAAAAGAGCGTATGATTCTCTTTCATTTAATGTCATTTGGAAGAAAATTTAAAGCTCTTTTGAAACAGGTATCACTCGACCCCCTGTTCCATTTGGAATGGTAAGGGTTGGTCCCATCCTCCTAGATGCTTAAGTTAGTGTCGAAAATGTTTCAGACACACACAATGAAATTACGTGTACGAGCGATTTAAAAAAAAATATATGACATCAGATATTTAGCCTGTTTCGTTTTAAATGGTATTCCCTGTATTTTATATAGCTGTTGTTTATTGAACACATTCGGTGTAGTTGACGACTCTACTTTTGCTAGAGATACAGTAACATAGGTACATTTATTTCAAATTTCAACTTTAAGAAATTTTGAGTGTTCGCATTATTCAAACACTGCATTTAAATTATTCGATTTCAAAATAATTAAAATCAGGTAAGTAAGCAAGGTCCTAGACATTTTTTTTAAATTTAAATTTGGAACTTGAAATTCCGAAACAAATATTATTATTTGTTTTATTTTCATATATTGACCACAGCACTGCATAGGTATAGCATCCATCAAAATGTTTTATTCATGTCTCGGATCGATATAGTATCTGGACGCTAGTGGCAATCAGTCTCGATTCTCAGATATCATAAAGAAAGCTACAAGCCGAAATCAAACAAAGAATTATTACCAATCCTTGAAAGTATCGGACACACTCGAGCATTGTAAGTTTTCCGCAATGAATTATTCATGATATGTGTTCTCCTCTCCAGTGTACTTAATGGCCTTAGAGTACGTCACGTGGTCATCTATGTATCAATTAGGGTGCGTCCACTCGTCCCTGGTACGCAACAATGTGTCTATTTCGGAAACCGAGTGGACAGATAGGAAATTATTACATATACAGGAGACACGTATGAATAGGTATTTCCTGGAATAAAAGAGAAGCGAAGGACTGCTTTATGATATATATGGGGGCATAATATGGTATAATTGATGCTGTGCAAGTATATTAGCCGCACTGGATCCAAAAACTCGCCAACAGTTTCATTTAAACTTAACGCGGGGCAAATTGATGCAACATAATGTGGAAGTTGAAATATTATTGAACGCACTAATAATTCAAATACTTCAGATTACCTACTTGATTTTCATTGGATCGGCTATTACACCTATTAAATTATTGTGATTTATTTACCGAAGGTCTTTATTACAGTTTTATTATCGAAAATACAGTTTGCTAACTCAGATGGACGAGTTGAATTACCGAAAAAACAGGATGAAAATATTAATGAAAATAATATAGACGTGATCTGGATTACAGTGGAAGAACTCGCAATTGAGAATTTCTATGAATAAGCCAGATCAATGGGTTTTTCTTTACGATAGGTTAGGTTTCTTGTGAGTGTTCCGATATCGGCCCTTCCACTGCGACCTACGGTCTATTGTGGCTCACTCCGAGTTTATATTTCCCTCATCAGTCCAGCCCTTCTTAAGAAGGCGGAGATAAGTGTGGGGGAAGCTAGCTGTCCAGCTTGGTGGTATATGGTTCCACACCAGACTGGCTCTAAAGAGTCTAATTAGGAATGAAAGCAGGATCCCAAGTCCGTTCTGTAGCAGAGCAGGGAAAATGGCGTCTTTCCCAGGCGATTTAAAAAGGTGGAATGATGGGACCGCCCCCTTTATAGCCGCCGCTGTAATTTTGTTGGGTGCCAACCAGTCTTCTCTTCCAGGTCGTTTAATCCGATCACTAGAGTGGGCATCCTGGAGGCCATTCATCAGCAGACTTCCCGGGAAGTGGTTCTTTGCGAGAATCCCTAACGTTTATTTCCTAGAGTGTGTGTAGGATCCATCTGGGCATTTTATCTTCTTTAGGATAAACATGGAAGTTAAACTAATTTAATTTAGTGAAACATCCACTTCCTTTCTTGGAGTTTTCTTCAGATTCAAGTCTTACGTTGTGTCGTTCATAATTGCATTTCTTTTGATAACTAGTAAGATTTAAATTGATTCCGCTCTCCTTAAGATCTTAAGTGCCAGCTTTTTTCCCCATTCGCTACTTTTCTGTTACAATCTGGACAGGCTTAATTGATGATTTTTGGTTGGTTGGTGCTTATGCTCTTCTTGCAAGATAGAATACTTGCGATTGTGCTTTTAAGCAAGAAACTTACTAGTAGAATATGTTTATCTGATTTTTTAATATAGCGCCATTATCAATTCAACGTAATGCTGTTTGGATTAATTATGCAATGCAACTGACTGATCGGATCTAGTTTTGCAACGGTTGGTTGGTTTAAGGCAGGGCCAGGCGTGCTCGTTTCCCGATTTGCACTGCAGCTTTAAGGCTTATTTTGCTACCCCCTGTCTTGCTTAAGCAAGTTCCGTCTCGCTGATGAGATCTAGCAGCTTGCTGGCATGTTTCTCAGCTGGCATGTTTCTTCTGCGAGAGTCTCTCGCCGCATGTTATTCCTCCAAATAAATTGTGTCTTCTGGGAGCCAGTGCTTCACAGTCATTTCATATATTATGTGTAAGGCGGTTTCCTCCTCTTTTCCACAGAGTCTACATGTCGTTGGACCGTTGTTGACTCCCATTTTCTGCATGTGAGCTCTAAAATGACAGTGTCCTGTTAGTACTCCTACCACCCGTCATATCCGAGTATGCTTTAGTGACAGTACTTCAGCTATTAGCATCTTTGAGGAAATTCCAATTATCCCCTTCGAGTGTTCTTGCTCCAGGTGTGGACAGCCAACAGTCGAGATGTTGATGGGTCGACCACCTTTAAACTGCCCTCTTTATAACCTGCTTCGATATCCCAAATGCGGGTTATGGTCTTTCGTTGCCTTCTTTTGCCGAATGCCCAGGAACCCATAGGAGCTTTATCCAGTTATTTCTTGAGGACAGGGGTTCCAGGTCGTGTAGGCATTCCATCGTTATCTTCGAAGTGAATCAATGTAAGTTCAGAGCTTTTAGAGCAGCTTGACTGTCTGAGTGAATGCATAATATGTTCTGGTTGTTATAACCCAGCATCAGAATCTTCTGTGTACATGATTGAATTGCATAAATTTCCTGCCTAGTAAACTGTGGCGTTAAGCCCCAGAGCAATGCTTTATTCTGGTCTTGGTCTCTCATCATATACGCCAGCGCCAGCTCCATCCGCTGTTCTGTAGCCGTCTGTATACCAGACCAAGCCTCTCCTTATTATGTGAGGTTTTCCTTCCTGCCATATGCTTGGGTCGCTTATGACTTTGAATGGTTTTTCAAACTTATGATCATTTGATCCGTTTGCATTTCCACTATGTTATCGTCCAGCAGGTAGATAACCTTTGTGTGGCCGTAGTTGCCTGGTATGTCTTTCGATGTGACGACAGCAATCATCCGGTGGGCTTCAACTATGGCTTCCATTTTAATGTGAACATCGAGGGAAGCTAGCTCCAGAATTACTTCCAGCGCTACAGTGGGTATGGTACTATCGCGGTGTTTCTGGCGTTGACCATGAGATTTGCTTCC